GAAGGTACAAATATAGGAAGAGAAATGGCTGCCTTCCCCTCAGTGTACTAACCTGAATCACAGAATCACAGAATCACAGAATTGTAGGGGTTGGAAGGGACCTCCAGAGATCATCGAGTCCAACCCCCCTGCCAGAGCAGGTTCCCTACACCAGGTGCATCCCACAGGGTCTCAACGTGGGCAAAGAATTCCCAAACCTTGCTATTATTTGACAAAAGTTGCTCTTCTTATACAGAAATCCATCTGTCTTCAGATTATGTGGAAAGAGATAGTCTTGCAAAAGGTCTTTTGCAAAATATGGTGGAGTTTTCATTTGTGCATAGTGCTCTTTGATGTGAAGGAGGATGAAGGATTTCACAGTTGGGGTGTGGCTCTGAAATCAGCCCAACATGCTGCTGGAAGCAGAGCTGTCTCAGGGACTTTTCCTCACCACTTTTTTCCATCCTCAGAACTTTTTCCATCTGAGAGATCTTTCTCATGATCTTGGTGGAAAGGCTCCTTGTTATGGATGGTGATAGATGGAAAGTTCTCTGAGGCTAAATAAAACTATTTGAGAGTTTAGAACCTCCCTTTTTATGACCAAATGCAGCTTTTTCATGCTCAAAGCCTAATTAACTTCTCCTTTTCATGGACAAAACCTCCATTCAGCATTCAAGTAGCCAATGGGAAGGTCCAAAGATTCATTTTGGAATCCAGAGTCTAATTTTAGGGTCTAAACATCCACCTTGAAAACTGAATGTCTTGTTTTGAGTGTGGAAAGTTACTGTTAATAGTAGCTTTTGTTTTCATCCTCAGACACTTTGGTCCACTTTCTCATATAGTCAAAAAAGTCATATTTCATTTTTTTGGCAAAAGTTTTATTCCTTGTGTCAATTCCCTTTCTCAAGTCATGAATTTTTCCTTCCTTCCTTCCTTCCTTCCTTCCTTCCTTCCTTCCTTCCTTCCTTCCTTCCTTCCTTCCTTCCTTCCTTCCTTCCTTCCTTCCTTCCTTCCTTCCTTCCTTCCTTCCTTCCTTCCTTCCTTCCTCAGAAAATAAATCACTCCTCTTCCTTACCTGGCTCTCAGCAATGAAGTGGTATTTTCAGGATGCCTCCCATGGGAAAGTATGCTGCCTGACCAAGATACTGGCATTCTACAATGGCATAACTGTGTCAAAGAACAATGGAAGAGCCAATGATGTAGTATATCTGGACTTCTATAAGGCCTTTTAGAAGGTTCTCCACAAATGGAAAGATATGGATTTCATGGATGGACTGTTCAATAGGAACAGATTGTGAGATCATATCCAGGGAGTGGTGCTCAATGGCTCCAAATGAAGGTCAGTGATGAGTGGTGTCCCTCAGGGTCAGTACTGGGACTGGTGCTGCTTAGTGCCTTCATTAATAATGTTGACAGTAGGATTAAGTTCACTCTCAGCAGGTTTGTGGATGACACCAAGCTGTGTTGTGAGGTCAAGACTCCCATGGGACAGGATGCCATCCAGAGAGACCTAGACAGACTTGAGCAGAGGGCCCAGGAGAACTTTGTCAGGTCCAACAAATCCAAGTGCAAGGCTTTCACCTCAGTCATAGCAATCCCCTCTCTCAGTAGAAGCTGAAGGATGAAAGGATAGAGCACAGCCCTGATGAAAACGACTTTGGGCTATTGCTGGATGGGAAGCTGGACATGTGTCCTTGCAGCCCAGAAGGCCAACTGCATCTTGGGTTGCGCCAAAAGGAGTGGCTAGCAGGTTGAAGGTAATAATCCTGCTTCTCTACTCTGTGCTGGTGAGACCTCACCTGTAGTACTGCATCCAGATTCTTAGATGTCAGTACAGGAGAGAAATTGAGCAGATACAGAGGAGGGCCACAGAAATGATCCAAGGGATATAACACATCTCCTAAGAGGCCAGGCTGAAAGAGGTGGGACTGTTCAGCCTGGAGAAAAGAAGACTCTTGGGGGACCTGATATGTGACTTACAGTAAATGGACTATAAGAAAGAAGGGGAAGGACTCTTTTTCAGGATCTCTGGTCATAGGACAAGGGAAAATGTTTTCAAATGAAATAAGAGGAGATTTAAATTGGATAAAAGGAGGAACTTTCTTATAATAAAGGTAGCAAGGTAGTGGAAATGGTTGCACTGAGATGCAGAGGAATCATCATCCCTGGATGACGTCAGGCTGGACCACATGACACTGGCAGGTTTTGTCCCCAAAGCCAACTACTGTGGATATTGCCAAAGGTGGGCCAAATGTGGGGCTCTGTATGCACATCTAGGGCACATTCACTGATCATAGCCTGTGTGCTGGCTGCTGGGGCTTGAGGATTGAGTGTCTGAATCTTCCCTACACTAAGGCTGTACATTTCTGTGCATCTGTAGTCAGCTGCAATACTGGTTGATCCAGTTAAGGCAGGCATGTCTAGACTACAGCCCAGACCATCACATACTGTGTGTTCTTCCTGCCCTGTGCCATCACAGCAGCAGCTCTTCCCCTGCAGACAACCCAATTCAGCCCAGGGCACGTACCCATCACTCAACAACAACCAAATATCAGCGTGCAGTTGGAAATGGCTGTGCTGAAACTTGGACACAGGGAATACACAGTGCAGTGCTGACTCGAGTTATTGCAAATAATCTTATGCATTTCGATACTGGCTAAACACAGTCCTCTGAACAGTGAAAAATTGGCAGTCTTGCACTGAACTGGTTTCAAAAAAATCATCAGTGTATGTTTGTGATTTCTTTTGCACTTGACATAAATACATTACCCATGAATTTTCAAATAGAATGTACACAGTGGCAATCAGACATCCAACACAAAAGATTGATCATGTCTCTTTTCTAGAATTTTATAAGTCCTATCTTACATTTGTTTCACAATCATGCCTTATTTATGTCAACTCTATTTGGTGATATTTGTGAAGAATTACTGTCAAGGATGAAGCAAAGGAAGAGTAAAATTTCATCAAAAATCTATTATGAACAATTTCAGAACTCATTAAGTATTGCAGTCACTGCGATCATGCCAAACTGAGGCATTAGTATCATAAAAACAAGGTCACACATCTCTCTAGTTTTATGGTTTTGTGGCTCTATTTTTTGAATGTTTTAATAAAAACAGTAAAAGTTAAAATAAGTTTTGTTATTTGTATGCATTAACTGTATTATATATGTTATGAGACCTGCTCCAAAATTAATGCCCTCTATGATGGTGGTTTGGTAGGAGAGGTTGAACCTTCCCTACAGTACTCTATTACATTTTGTTGCTGTGTGACAGATGACAGCAGAGAGGCAATCTGACAGAATAACCACTGACACAGAAGTCTTTATGAAGCAAGGAGGTGTCATAAAATTCCTCCATGCGGAAAAAATTATACCCACTGGTGTTCATCTGTGCTTGCTGAACTTTCATGGAGACAGAACTGTGGATGTGAGCTCAGTGAGGCAGTGGATGGTGTGTTTCAGTGGTAGTGATGACATCCGTGGTTCACCTCTATTTGTGCAGATATTTACAAGTGTGGCACACAGGTATTTGTTCATCACTGGTGAAAATGCATAACTAGTGGTGGTGACTGTTGAAAAACAGCGTTTTGTAACTGAAAATTTGCCCTATCAAATGGAGTTACTGTGCTCACTGATTCAGTTGCAGTTTCTGTGAAAATGAAGGAGACATTACTTTCAGAGACATCTACATGTATGTGGCTCAAGACAATTCCTCTTCAATCAACATGGCCCAGGAAAGCCCATAGTTTGGAAACACGTGATCTAGGAGAAAGCAGCAGCTGCACCCCTCAGCCTGGGCAGAGAGATTTGATTCTAGAGCACGGAGCTGGGCTCCAGTGATCAGGCTGGTGGAGCCTTGGCCTGGGCTACTGGAGCAAATAACTTCTCCTGTCATTCCTTAGGGGATGGGGAGAAGAGCCAGGGCTGCAGCGCGAGGGACGGGTGGGGGCAGGACACAGTGCCATCTGGGCCCACAGGGAGCTCTGCATCCAGGGCCACCAAAATCCATCCTGACCAGGGTGCACCTCCTTGAGTTCTCGAGAAAAATGAGCACAGAGCACGTAGCAGCCACTGACTGAGGCCATGTCAATCAGACAGAGTTGGGTCTGACATGGACAGGATGTCTTGGGTGGGAGACAGCACAACTAAATAGCATGAGCTGTGTTAGACACTGGAGAGGCATCCACAGAGTTCTACTCCAATTCTGTGCCCTCTCTCTTCTCAACTGCAGCAGAGATGAGAGCAGGAAGTGTTCTGTTACTAAAAGCTTGCAGGGTAGCTTTCCCCCATGACCTCCAGCACACTCTTAGTTTTTTCCTGTGAGCAAAGCAGAGATTATGTTCTCCATTTCCAAGACCTGAATGGGGGTAACTGAGAGCAGAAACACTGCAAAGCAAAGGCCAATACCCACTTTCTATGCCATTGCCAGGGATATGTTCTAAAGCTGCAAGGGACAGTGCCCAAGAGAGGAGGCTCTGCAGTGTGTCACAACCTCCCATTCTTTTGGGAGCAGTGAAAGGCTTCCTTAAACACTCATCTCCTACTCACCAGTAGCAAAGTCATTTTCCCTGGGCAGCTCTGAAGGTCATTCACTGTGGGAAGTGATACCAAAAGCCCAAACTGATATGCAGAAATTTTAATGATTGTTTAAAGAGGAAAACGAGTTCATTCTGAACACAGTGCAGGATTTGCATGATCCTACGTTTGAGTTCATGCAAGGCATGTGCCTGACTTTCTGGCAGAGGATGGGAGGGCTCTGAGAAGCCTCAAAGCTCAGAGGAGAATAGAGGTAAAACAAAGAGAGAAAAAAAGAAAATTTAGAGAGAGATATGTAGAAAAATGGAAAAGACATGAGAGAGGTTTTCAGAAAGACCAGGCTTCCCCTTCCTGCCGGCACTTGCTAGATTAGCTGAGGATGGTCAGGTATTCTGAAAGCAGTGGCTTGAAGATTTCTTCTTGATCCAACACCATGTTTGTAGTTTCTGGAAGAACTTCTCCAGAAATATGGCCAGCATCTTTAGCAAGGGGGGCACCTTCTGCCACAGTAGCGGCTGCCAAAGTTGGAGAGGTTAAGGCTCCCAGAGGAGATGGGCACACCCTGACAGCTGAGGATGCTGCCAACAGCAGCGGAGGTGGAGGAGCCCACAACAGTGTTCTGTGGGAAGGAGCTGAGGATGGGTCCGGGCAGGGTCACCACCACAGGAGAGGGCTCAATGACAACATTGGAGCTCTGGCACTGTCTGACACAGGGCTCATTGCAGCTGCTGGCCAGAGGAGTGGGGCCGCAGGGCCGGCATGGCACGCACTGGGAGTAGCAGGACATGACTTGAGACTGGAGATGCACCTAGGAAAGAGAGTTAAGAGGAAGGAGAGCATTTGGCTGTGTGAGAGGCAATCTGAATAGCCTCTCACAAAGGAGCCAAGGCAACTATTAAGAACACAGATGGAGGCTCTGACAGGAGGTCATATCCCTTTGTCATGTCAGAGCCCTGCAGAGAACAGCCTGATCCAAAGAGTCCCTCTTTGAAAGGATAAATCACAGGTCATTTAAGTCGTGTCCCAGATTCTCTGAGCAGACCTTATCCCCTACATTCTCTCCCGATAGCACGGAGCTCCAATCCCCAGCATAGGGCAAATTCACTATTGAATAAGATGCCCATTGAGGCAAAATCTCACTTTGCAAGAGGAGAAGAAAGGGTTTCACCCTTACCTGGTTCCCAGCAAGGAATCACTATTGAATAAAATGCGCATTCGGGCAAAGTCTTGCTTTGCACGAGGAGGAGAAAGGGCTTTACACTTACCTGGTTCCCAGTGAGAAGGAGGCAAGATAGATGGATGGGAGAGCTGGGAATTGGACTACCTTTTATACTCATCCCTCATTGCTGCAGGCCCAGATGCACCACTGATATAGGTATTAATCTTCTGACAAGCTCATCTTTAATGCAAGTCATCTCTGCTAATGATATGAGCCATGGTTTGGTTTCCTTTCTACCTTTTCATTTCCAGATTTATGCCATGCCCATTACCTAATGAAGGCTTCTTTGGTGTGCTGGGATTAAAGGTTGTAATGCAAAAGAGCCAGCACTACTGCTAATGCTTTACTTATCTCTAAGAACATACATGGAAGTAAGTTAATATTCATTTGTTAAAAAGAGACTCACATTTCTGGGGAAGGCTGGCCAGTAAAGTGTCCACTCTGTGGTTTTCTCCCAGCAGATATTGATGGTGGCAGGCCAGTAAGATGTCCTTCCTTGTGGTGGCAAGGTGTCCTTCCTGGAGTGCATTGTCCAGTCCAGTTAAAGGTAGGTATTGTCAGCCACAATGACAAAAGATTTACAGAATCACAGAATCACAGAATCACCCGGGTTGGAAGGGACCTCAAGGATCATGTAGTTCCAACCCCCCTGCCTAGCAGGGCCACCTAACATGCACATTTAGATCAGGTTGCCCAGGACCCCGTCCAACCTGGCCTTGAACACGTCC